AAATCTTCAAATTAAGTGAAGATTAAACTCTAACAAGTCTTTCTATTAAGTTAAGTTAACTTTTTTAAATTTAGGTGGACTGAACATAAAACAAAACAAAAAAATGGCCAAAGAAATGAAGAATTGTGTTGTTTAAACTCATTTTCAACCTGTAGTTTGTAAATTTTTTGAGTGCTCTTGAAAATATTTGTGCTGCTTGTTCAAACTACTTAGTTAATATGAGTTGAACCAACACAATTCTTAAGTTTTTTTTTTGTTGTTGTTTCTTGTTCAATCTACATAAATTGTGTAAAAATGATCAACTTCATCAAAATGTGTTGGAGCAACATAATGGAATTGTGTGGAACCCAGCATTTCTTACTGTGTGTGTAGACTGAATTGCAGACAGTGTCTAAATTTAAAATATGTAAACTAGATAGGCTTGAATATGTGAACTAGACCGAAGATATTGGCATCAGCTTGTTTGACTTTGTGCAAATATACAGTTGAAGTCAAAATTATTAGCTGGCCATGCCCTTAATTATGCAGACATAATATACCTTTATATAAACGAAAGGATAAGTTTAAAAAAAAAAAATCACCCCCTTAAAGTTATCATGAAGGGTATTGTTAACTATATTAACCAAAATCGTTCATTGTAGTAGGCTGTAAAGACCTTTTTTTTCTACTGTAAAGTTGGCCATTTTAACAGTGGAAATAGAAATCTGCTCTATTATGCACCCAGGACTAGCAGAATTTCGATGAATTGTTTCAGTTACTTCCGTATTTGCTTCACCAGGGAAAGCGGGAGATTGCTGCTTGGTCTCCATGAGAACGCAAGTCCATTCTCTGCGTTTTTGGAATTGAGAAACAGCCCATGACTTGCCTAATTACCCTAGCTTGCCTAATTAAGCCTTTAAATGTCACTTTAAACTGAATACTAGTATCTTGAAAAATATCTAGTAAAATATTATTTGTCATCATGACAAAGATAAAATAAATCAGTTATTAGAAATGAGTTATTAAAGCTATTATGTTTAGAAATGTCAAAAAAATCTTTCTGTTAAACAGAAATTGGGATAAAAATATACAGGGGGACTAATAATTCTGACTTTAACTGTATATTTGTGTTTTAGTGACAACAGCATCAGCTCAGCAACACTAATGATCTTGCCTGCTTGTCAAAAAACCAGACGTCTCATCCCTCGAGCCCTGCGTTCATTCACCAATCACCAAACACACTGCTGTTCCTCAAGACAGCCTCACGTCTCATTCTCACACACTGCAGTGGAAATGAGACGAAGCGCTACCAGACAGCACCTTTGACCTTCATTAGCTTACCTGTCAACATACGTCTCTCTCTTTCTAGCTCTCTTAAACGTTCCTCTCAGTCTTGGCCCGCTGATCTGACATGGCAGCGTTCCCACAGGCCTGTCATTGTGGACATCACTGGGCATGTTTACTGTTCATCTCTCGCTCGGATGTGCTCATGTTTAGACAACGATACTGTTGAGTGTCATCCAGAGGTGCTTTTGCCCCCAGAGAGGAAACCAAATAATGAAGTGTGATAGAGTTGTTAACACACAACCTTGTGAGTCTATCCGAAAGCACGCAGTGACAGGAAGACTTTTAAAAATATGTACCATGTGGACGAAAGTTTGTCAGCACTACTCTTTAAAAATATGAAGTGATTTTTTTTTCATTAGATTCAAATTAACGGGTATTTTATTATACATTTGTTTTATATGAATTGTATTTTGACCAATAAGTGGCGATAGGGTTGTTACGGTACTGGAATTTGGTACCAATCGATACTGAAGTTTTAAAAATTTACATTTCCCGCTAACATTTGAGCGATGTTGAGCATGTTCTTAAATTCTGCTGATTTGCTGTTGTGTTCAAGTGCTCAACAGAAATGACTGTGATTGGCCGTGAAGGTCATCAGTTCACCAACTCACTGCTGTTTGATGAGTGTAACCACAGATACAGGGACACAAGCGTTTTAAAGTCACGATTCATCAGCAGATCGCTTGTATGTCAGCTTATAGACAAACCAGCTGATCGACGTCACTTGGAAATGCTCCAGTGTCCCTGTATATGTGTTCACACTCACTGATGACCTTTACGGCCAATCACAGTCATTTCTGTTGAGCACGTGAACACAATGGCAAATCATCTGTGTTTAAGAATGTGCTCAAATGTTAGTGGGAATGGACCGAATTCCAGTATGGTGACAAACCTAGGTGGTTATGCCCTAAAACTTCTAGTTCCTTCAGAGCCTCATGCCAAAGATACAATGGAGTCAAGAAAATATAGCATTTTATGAAAAAATTGTAAATTTATCATGTGGATATAGTTATTATTAGAGTTTAGCAAGATCAATCTTGTTAAAAAAGAAAATAAAAATTGCCTAAAATAAATGTATATACAGTTAGTCAGAATTATGAGCCTCCCAGTTTATTTTTCCCCAATTTCTGTTTATCGGAGAGAAGATTTCTAATAACTGATTTATTTTATCTTTGCCATATATATATATATATATATATATATATATATATATATATATATATATATATTTTAAACCGTTCTGTCTGGTTCTCGAATCTGATTGGCTGATAGCAGTGATATATTTAAGTAATATCAGCACCCGTACAGCCTCTTTACCCTTTGTGTATTACTCCCCCCACATACAGCCAGCAACAAGCAGAGATACTACAGTTTGACAAATACTACTGCAGTTAGAAAAAAAATATACTTTTGAGGCTTTTTTAGTCGAGAATGTAGTTGTTTAGATTGCAACTATGCAGTTTATTTGCAAGAATAGAATATTTACATTTTCTGAGAGTGCTCGTTAACAGCCATAGTGTAGACCAAAGACGGTTGATGCTTTCTTTCCACAAGATGGCGACAGAACTGTATAATAAGCCCTTACGCTTAGAAGCTTATAACAGTCTGATTTCTAACTATAGCAGATTAAATAATTATTAAACTGGGAAGCAATACCTGCCAACACTTCCATTTTTCATTGGATTATCCCGTATTTCAGACCAGTCTTCCGCAACCATCCAGTTTTTTTTTTCTTCCTAAAAAAAACTCCCGTAATTTCACCCACCCCCCTGTTTGGTATAGTCTGTAAACACCCCTGTGTTGCAAACTTTGGTACAGTACCCGATTGAAGCGGCCACCCAAAGCCTGCTGCATCCTATCCCAGTTCTCAACAGTGTTATTCACCACCGAACACACCCTCCTCCAGGTCTCTCGAATTTTCAGAGACATGTTAGGAGGTTAGATGATCTCTCTCTTTTGTATGTTGTAGTGCTGGATTTATACAGATTTGCTCGCATATCAGGAATATGTGTTGTGTTGACAGATTGAAATAAGCAAAGTCTGCATGTGTTTAGCGTTTTTCCTTGTCGCAAACACAACAGCAGTCTGATATTGATTGCGTTCCTTTTTTTAGGTTTTTTTATTGTAATATCCCGATTGCAACAGAGAAATACTGTGGACTGTAACACTAAGAAGATATCTCTGTAGATGGATGGCATTTCCTGTCACAATTAGCCTTATAACCTTAAAGTGTGAACAAAATCAGCTACTTTGTCATCACTTTAGACACAGAGTCAAACACTAATTCTAATGTAACGTTGGTGAATTAGTAACGGCTTCTGCAGTTTTGACGTCAGCTGCAGATGTAATGAATGGTGGAAGAAAGTAGTTCCTAATAAAAAAGGGTTTTTAGACGCTCAGTGTTTGGTTTTCTTATTTATATACACATTGTGCTGTTGAACTGTTGTATAAATGCAATATCACACTCGTAGCAGTGCGATATGGCTGTATATGAGCATATGAGCACTGGTAGCACGCTAAGGCCTCCCACCATTGCTGATATACAGTCATATCACAATGCTACGAGTGTGAGATATATATATATATATATATATATATATATATATATATATATATATATATATATATATATATATATATATACATACATATATATACATACATATATATATACACACACACACACAGTTGAACTCAAAACTACAAAAATGTTAGCAACATGTTAAGTCAACATAATAAAACATACAAAAAACAACCTACAAATTTGTTAGCAACATGTTAAAATCCAACATGCAAATGACATTCTTAACCATGTTACCAATGTGTTCAAACACCTAAACAAGCTGCATTGTCGGCTGGCACTACTGTTAATATATTTATAAAACCTCTGATACAAAGTTCATAGATGAATGATTTTATATTCTTTTTTTTTCAAAAACAAACATATAGTATAGGCACCACCAGGTTTGGTAGCAGAGCAAATGTAAAATGAATAGCTGTATGATAGTCTGGTTTAAAAAATTCAGATCCGTCAGATATGCTTAACATCATTGTTCAAACAACTCGGTTAAACTTTTGAGACAACTTGCAGTGAGCCAAGAAATGAATTTACTTAATTACAGTGACCAGTCTAGTTGATACCAGCACAGTGAATGTATTTCTGCACGCTCAGCAGCTTTTTACAGGAGTCCTCGGTAATGAAAGTTTTACAACACTCTAAAATTTCTGTACGTCAGCAGTCTGACAGAGGAAGAGCTACTCTGATAATATTGCCATCTTTCATCTTGTCTATTCAGAGCTACATGACTTGTCATCTCTTGAGTCACAGTTCAGGATTAGGGATGCGCAAAACTACACATTTTCAAAATGTTTTTTGTGAGGGATTAATCAACTAGTCTGTCTTCAGGAAATCCTATACAGTTTAAGAGTGTTTAGGTTTGTTTACCACTAGACACAATTACACCAGTTTCTTACCAATAGATGCCAAATGCAAAGCAACATATTCATTTCCACTATATATTATAATATATATTACATACCTTTGGTTTGTTGTTAGAATTGTTTAGAATCGGTCTTAATACTTTGCTACTTTTGAATGGACTTCAATAGAGTAAGATGCTAAACTAGTAGATGCTAACTAGATCATGCTAAGCAACCAATGCTTGTGTGTTCAGATGAAAGATGACCTGGAAAAGTTGGAGGACCGGCTGGAGTGGGCAAATAATGCACTCAAGAGTGACTGGACCCGCTGGAACAAGGTCATGAGAACTGACCTGCGATCAGCCTTTGTTGACACAGCGGAGAGGAATGTCAGCTACTATGAAAAGGTAAGCTGCTTGCTTGTTATTTATTGTTGTGTAAAAGGAGATTAACATGTTAATAAGCTATTTGCTTAGAAAAATAAATCCTTCAAACAGCTAACTACATGACAAAACCTGCTACAAATATGCTAAACTATTTTAGCAATGTGCTACAACAATGTAGAATCGAGTAGCAAGGTGCTAACACAACCTAAAACACAGGTTAGAAAAGTTACCAGTATGCTAAAACATGCGAGCAATGTGGTGAAATCAACTACAGAAGTGTTATCTAAATCATTTTAGCAATGTGCTACAACAATGTAGAAACGTGTAGCAATGTGCTAAGTCAAAGCTAAAACACAGGTTAGAAATGTTAGCAGTATGCTAAAACATATGAACAATGTGGTAAATCAAGTACAGGAATGTTAGTTAAACCATTTTAACAGTGTGTTACAACAATGTAGAAATGAGTAGCAATGTGCTAAGACAAACTAAAACAATTTACAAATGTTATAAGTACGTGAAAACATGCAAGCAATGTGGTAAAATGAACTACAGAAATGTCAGCTTAACCATTTTAGCAATGTACAACAACAACAACAAGGTAGAAACTAGTAGCAAGGTCCTAAGGCAAGCTAAAATACAATATAGAAATGTTAGCAGTATGCTAAAACATGCGAGAAGTGTGGTAAAGTCAAATACAGAAATGTTAACCAAATCGTTTTAGCATTGTGCTACAACTATGTAAAATCAAGTAGCAAGGTGCTAAGACTAAAACACAATATAGAAATTTTGCAGCACGATAAAACATGCTTGCAGTGTGGTATAATCAACTACAGAAATGTTAACAACATGTTAAGTCAACATAATAAAACATCCAAGCAACAACCTAGAAATAGTTAGCAACATTTTAGGTTAAAAACCAACATGCAAACTACATTCTAAACCATGCTAGCAATGTGTTCAAACACCTAGAAACATGCTAACAACAGAACACCTGCTATCAGTTAACTAAAACATTCAAGCAATGATTTAAAACCACCTTGAAGTATGTTAGCAGCATGCTAATACAAGCTAATACATTAAATCCAACTTTAGAACCTACCCACAACACTTTAAAAATAATAGAAAACACCATAGGAACAACCCAGAATATGTTATCTGAGTGAATGTGTCACCAAACTTTGAGCTTTTAAATTCCATCACAATTTCAAAAGCTTTTAAACCTGAAACTACACTACACCTCCAGCGTTTCATCTAATCCTTGTTAGGGCTTTTTAAGTCAATAAACTATGTCAATAAACTTTATCTGGTGTGTTTCACTAAACCATCGTTAACCAACTAAAAAACGCAAGTTCCGTCGTTACAAACATAGTTTGTTGATTTGCCGTTTCCGAAATCCGTCGCTCCAACAAACATTCTCAAACTGCGTCGCAAACTTGAGCACTCGCAACTACACCTCTGGAGCTGTAGTTTGAAACATAGTTCCTGGCTGTGTTCTATTCCCACTTATCCCCCCTATGCCTTATTCATTTAGAACATTCTAACAATCAAAGTTGGAATGATTAAAAATAAAAAAGCATTAAGCTCATCCCTCTTGGGTGTAATTTGCCTTAAACTATTTTTACAGTTCAGTTTTAGCGATCTTCATGTTTACAATTGTGCTCCCTTCGCAGTGCACTTTGAAAACATTGATGTTATTTTGAACGAAATGTTATAGGTGACCTATTGTTTAAAAGGGGAATTTATGTTACATCTCCAAAGCTTTTGAAAACAAAAAGCATACGTTAATTCTTTAATTTATAGTAGATTATTTATTAAGTATCTCTATATGACATGGGCCTGCCGGTTTGAACTTTCTGTGGTTTACATGTGTTAAATTGTAAAAGTAGACTTAAAAAAATAAAAAAAAATAAAAAAATATATATATATCTACTTAATAATAATAATAAATTATCATTCTTGTATCTTCATCATCATTAATATTAAAGTCAGATTTTTTTCATTACTAATAAATAATAAATATTACATTTCATTTTATAATAAATACCCTCACCATTTATTTATATGATTTATATGATATTAGAATATGTGTTAGCTTTTGTAAGTGGTATGTTTTAGAATAGAATATGAACAATTTCTCAATAATATTAGTAAAGCAAACTCTATGTGCCATTTACATATATTTTAGTTATTATAGAAAGCGAGTGCATGTTTTTACCAAATGTAATATTGGATTTCATTTTATGTGCGTGTAAAAAAATATAATTTGCACAAAGAAGTTATGGGTTCTTCTCTAAAGAAGTAGTTACTCCACCCAGTTTAGAGCTTCATCATGGGTGTTTTACGTCATGACTAACGTGGTTCAAGTGATGGATCAGAGAAACTATGCTTTTTGAGAAACACTCGTCACTACATCGTTCTTTTCCCAAAGGATACATCGTACTATGATAGTTTAGCTGCGAGTTACGTCGTTGTGTTGTTTAAATTACTTGTTGGCTTCTTTTAAATGAACTTCACTTCAAAAAACAAAACAAAAGAATAGAAACCATTGTAGTATTTGCAATGGTTAGAGTGGAAATTATATTGGTTTTAAATATAAACTGTAATAGTCCTCTGGGTCTCTAATGATCATTTTTAGCCTTGTATTGGTGGCATGTTAAAAAAAATCTGAGTGGATTTTTCAGAATGAAATCATCCCTGAATCTCCAATGGAATGTGTCCCAAGATACAATGCTTAGTCCCTGATTTGTCAGGAGTCACCACAGCAGAATGAACCACCAATTGTGTCCCAAATTACACTAGAAATAATTAAAAATGTACTGCTTTTAATGGTCATAATTCGATGGTTTGATAATGTTTTCAATGCTATTTGTAGTGGAATACTTTAAAACTTCTGTGAGGTTTCTAATCAGTTTTTACAGCAGGATTAATATAGCTAGTTGATCTGTTGTTGCTATTTTAAACTTGATCACGTTTAAAATAATGTTGTAAATGAGCAGATTTCAGAACCCAGAGATACACCATCAAAGCTAAAAGGTGGTAAAAATGGATCCCGTTGAAGACTTGGACGGATTGGAGAGGGAAGCGTGTGGCCATCTGCCCACATTCATTCGCTCAGCCATCTGGATGTGTGCCAGCAGAGGGTGGTAGCATCTCATTTTTATCCCGGCTGACAAGTAATTGCACTCCAAGTCTATAAATGTTGACATTGCTTGCTAGATTGAACGCGTTTAAGCCAGTGCTCTGCTTAATTTATCTTCTTTTTCCTTTTTTTAAGCTCCTTTGCTTTTGAGTCCTAAACAATAAATCGCCACTTCAAAATTGAAAGTGTTTCGCAAAAGCGTGTCATAAAATGGAGAGGAAAAGTAGCATTGTCAAAGTTTTGGAAATACTGTGCTCTCTTGATACATGCTGTGCCCTCAGAGACTAACCTTCTGTCGGACAGAAACAGATGAATGAGTTTATTGCCAAATGAATATGACAGGCGCTCTGCTCTCGTCTCTAGAGAGGTCGAGATGTCCACAGGGTGTGTTCAGGTGGAAATAGAAGCAAAAATAAGCTGTGCTGCACGAGAACTGACATTGTTGAAGAAGCCTGAGTCCGAGTCAAACTACTTATTTAAAGTAATTTAGACTATACAGAAACGTAACAATTAAAAAAGATAAACAAAACAGGACTTTAATCAAAATGAGAGTTTGCAAAACAAGAAAAACAAGACTAATAAATAGCATTCACCACAATATGATTAAAGACAAAAAGGAATGCATAAGAGTTTTTTTTTTAATTTATTTTTATTACTTTTTTTTGTGTGATTTAAGTATTTTTCCAAGAATGTTCTGAGTGATTTTTATTTTAATGCTTCATGTAATTATCTAAGCATGTCTTATAGGGGTTATTTTATTTTATTGTATTTATTTTATTTTATTAATTCCACTAATTTTCCAAGCATGTCCTAGGACAGGGGTGTCAAAGTCTATTCCTGGAGGGCCGAAGCCCTGCAGAGTTTACTTTCAGCCATTCTTCAACACACCTATCTGTAGGTATCAAACAAGCCTAAAGCACTCAGTTAGTTTGATCAGGTGTGTTTAATTAGGGTTGGAACTAAACTGTGCAGAGCTTTGGCCCTAAAGGAACTGGCTTTGATGCCTGTGTCCAAGGAGTTATTTTATTATAACATTTTTTTGGTCTGATTCAAGTAATGTTCCAAGCATGTCTTAGGAGTTTTTTATTTTTATTTATTTATTCATTCATTTTCTTTTCGGCTTAGTCCCTTTATTAATCTGGGGTCGCCACAGCGGAATGAACCGCCAAATTATCCAGCATATGTTGAAGATGACCTTCCAGTCGCAACCCAGTACTGGAAAATACACTCTTGCCTCCACACACACACACACACACACACACACACACACACACACACACACACACACAAACATTACAGCCAATTTAGTTTATTCAATTCACCCAAAGCGCATGTCTTTGAACTTGGGGGAGAAACCGGTGCACCCGGAGGAAACCCATGCGAACACCGGGAGAACTTTTATTTTATTTTAATTTATTTGGATTCAAATAAATTTCCAAGCATGTCCTGAGTTATTTTCTTTATTTTATTTTATTTCTTTTCTTTACTTTTTTTTTTCGATTAAAGTAATTTTCAAAGCATGTCCTATGAGTTATTTTATTTTATATGTATTTTTTTGTCTGATTCAATTAAATTTCCAAGCATGTCCAATGGGTTATTTTTATTCTATTTTATTTTATTTAATTTCAATGGGTCAAGTAATATTCCAAGCGTGTTCTAGCAGTTATTTTACATTTCCTATTAGTTATTTTATTTTATTTACATTTATTTTTCCAGTAATTTTCTAAGCATGTCCTAAGGGATATTTTATATAAATTTATTTTATTTTGTCAAATAATTTTCTTAGCATGTCCTATGGGTTATTTTATAAAATTTTTTCCAGTAATTTTCTAAGCATGTCCTATAGGTTATTTTGTAAAAAAAATTTCCAGTAATTTTCTAA